TTTTTTTTCGAAATCATGCTTTGTAAGTCAGCCAAAGACCCAGAACATATTCTTAGAACATAAATGAAGAAATCTGTAAATGGATTGCATTTAATTTTAATTCTGTCACCAAAGGCACTGATTTGTTTATTAATTTTTTCTTTAAAAAAATGAGACTATCATGTTATTTCGATCATATTTCCGTTAATTTTGATTCTAAAGAGTTTTAAAATAGCACATTTTAAAGGTTTTTCAAAGTACTTTAAAAAAGGTTCAAACAGTTTTTTTCCTAATATTTATGGTTTTGGCGTTATTTAACGTTAACCGGTTCCAATTTAGTTTTTAGCTATAACATATAATAATGTTTAAAAATCCATAAGTCGGTTTATATTGCAATTAAAGAAAAACAAAATAATGCCATTAGATTTGTTTTTTATTACCTTTCTTTTTGTTCATTACAACTTTTTCGTTAAATCCAATGGTTTCAGAGTTATTTGCAAAAAACTGTCCGAAAACAAGCACTTTTTCAGTAAAAAATCAACATTTTCAATGACGAATTACTCGGAAAGTATTGGATTATCCAAAAAACTTTATATAACATTTGTTACTTAAAATTTACTCCTCTATCGATTCCTGTGGTTATTTTAGGCGTAAAAAATTCCACCCCCAAGAACGGGTGGGAACCACCCCCAGGGCAAAAGCATACTTCGGCACTATATAAGTTTTGTTCCTTGAGACATTCCCCACATTCAGTCAAAATTTCACGTCAATCGGTTCAGTTATAAAGAATTCGGAGGTAAAAACCCTGAGTAACTGAACTAGGTAAAGATTATCACGCGATTTTTACTTTTCCTTTGGAATTCCCTGACTTACTGACTTTTTGAATCCGTACTACATTTTACAATGATGATATTTTGGACTAAGTATAGTTCTTAGGGTTCGGTCTGATACAAAGAAATGTATAAATTTTACCGATTTTATTTGTAATCCTTCTTCCTTCTCCAGCATACCTCGGCTTCACTTGTCCCCCAGATGCTAGACAATTTGGATTAGGACAAGAAGAGTACCGGTACTTCCGTTCTCCCAACGATTGCCAGAGGTATTTCATCTGCATTGAAAACCGCCCTCGCTTGTACAACTGTGGAGAAGGCAAAGCTTTCAACGACCTCATCAACGCCTGTGATGGTATAGAAAATGTAACAGGATGCGCACTGCCTGGACAATTCCAGACCCAGCCACAAATTCAGTTCAGAGGAACTCCTACTAAACTACCCACTTCTAGATTTAACGGTTAGATTGGGCATACTATGTAATTTCTGTACATATCAGTTTATTAATAAAGTTTATTTTGTTTTTATCTAGTATATTGTCTTGAGTCCGTTATTTTTGTGCAAAGACTTCTTTCAATGACCATAAGAGCAAGTAATAATAAAAAATTATCTAAGCTGTTTTATGAAGACATCGAAGTAACAATTGATAAAATCGAGGAATATGAAATGTTTCAAGACCTTCTATGTTACCATAATAAACTGATGACAATTATTTTAGTTGCCTATTTAGAACGTTTGTTTAAATGGAATAAAATAACTTGGTACCTCCATATTTTTTAAAAAATTCATGTATACCATCACTTTCCGAAGCCTAGTCCAGTTCTACAAACAATTTTCAAATACAAAACCAAAAACAATTGCCTGAAAACGAAACTTTTAACGAATTGTTTCTTTGGTTGCCTCTGAATAAAAGTTTTACCACATCAGAAAATGTTATGAATCTGATATATACCAAAGTACATTAGCTACAAAGTACAAAGATCTTCAACACGCGGCTCGTGGAAGCTTCCTTGGCAGGCCGATAATAACTTGGTTAATTAAATTTATTTTATCTTATCGATTTCCGGGAAAACGAAAAGTGCCAGAATTTGTTTGCTCGGTCATTCAGTGTTTCTGTCGAAGATGTCCCTGAAGAAGTAAGAAGTTAGATCGAATTGATAAAGTTACAGTGTAACTCTACTTTTAAAGATAAATTGAAATAGCTCGAATTCTATTCTAAATACGTCCCCATTTCAAACTTTCCAAAAATCAGAGAAATTACATCGCTTTTTGGCACAACATATCTATGTGAGCAGCCATTTTCTCGAATGAAAAATGTGAAACCCAAGGCAAAAGGCAAGGACTAGAATCACCTTGAGTTGAGAATTTCAACGACACTATTGGGGCAGATACTGATAAATTAGTTAAGAATAAGCAATGTTAAATATCTCATTGATTGAATTTCATTAATATCATTTCATGTTTAAAATTATATAATAAATATCAGCAACATAAATGATTGTTTTTTCTTTAATTACTCATTTTAAAATGGAATATGTAATAATATGTGTTGCGTCCGAAAAACTGTTCTAATATCAAATTTGTTACCTATTTCCTTAATTTTTCCGATACAGTACCGGAAAATATGGACACATTTAAACTGTCTAAGCAACTAAAACGAAAAGTCAAAAAAAATTCAGAAGACACACAACAGTTAGATTTTCGAAAAGTCAATAACTTTTTAGAGTGCGCGAAACAAAGTGACGTGTTTTTTGTACTATATTTTGTATTTGTCTGCTTTTTTCAGTGTGATTTTTTGGTTAGGCAAAATTATTTTATCTCACTAACTTTAAAAATGTTTTCACAAGTATCCAAAAAAATAAAGAAAAAAAATAAATTATGATGCTGAAATCCGAAATTTCTTGAGAATACTCATTTTCATTAATTTCATTAAATTTTAATTAAAAAAATCGGTCCTTTATGGCCATTCAAAATACAAAATTTAATATTTCAATACAGATGAATTTATATGTATAAATGTTTTTACACAAATCTTTCCAAACAGTTTTTACACAATTTGCAGGTTTTATACTTGTTTTTGTATGTTTGCGTGCAAAAGTATGCAATCTGGACTAAGCTGAATAGTTACTAGTTTTAGGATAAATTACAGCTAGATTGCCCTAAACTTATATGTCGGTCACAATCCTAAAATTATTATTTTTTTGTCAATCCTAATTGCTTCTAAATTAATATGTACATATTTAATCTGAATGAGTTATGTATATATATATATATACGTATCCATACGGCGTTACCAGACCACATACGTAGCGCAGNTATATATATATAACTACAAAAAGGGTGACTCAGGAAATTTAATTATCCAAATATATCTAATCACCTAATTACTTGCAAGCTGAAATATTTATAATTTGTATAAGTAATTTGGAAATATGTAGATAATAGATACTTATATGTTGAATTTATATTGATAACCAGGTATTATTTTTAAATTAATATTTTGGTGTTACAACATTAATAAAAATGCCTCAACAAAAAAATAAGTATAAAATTTGCTGAGAACATTACAATTTTAAAAATAAAAATATGTCAAAAATTCGGCGAATAATTTCAAGCCCTTATATAAAATATGCCTTCATAAATGTGTTTGTACAAAGAATTTTTTTAATGCAATTATAACAATATTTTTACATTCATATGAGTGGACTAAAAAATTTTAACGTCATTATTCAGTTGGTTTGGTTATAATAAACAATTTTTGAAGTGTGTAAATTTGGTAATTTACTGTAAAAATTTTGTCAGTATAAAATATTAACAGGTATAAAAGATACACAATCATTCGATCAATTGAAATATGCAAGACATACTGTTTTTTTTTTAAATGGTTACGAGTATTTCTAGGTCTACTTAGAGAATTTCGTGTTGAAAAAATTTCAAATGCAATTTGTGTGCAAAGTTTTTATATCTTTCACGAAATTAAATTTTCAATAAAAAAAAATCGTGTTTATATTTACGAGTTGATTATTAAAAAAAGTAGTTTGCACACCTTTTCTCTCCAGTTCGGCAACCCCTATTTTAATATTTTATTTTGCAAAAATTCTTTATTTAGACGTCTAAAACCGGTGTGCTTAGTTCTCGTTATCAAAATATGACTAATTTTCACCAACCGCCTCTGATAATTATAAATCATGTAGATAACATAATTTATTTACACAAATGCATTTTTTTATTGGAAACAAATGTTTGCTCTATAAAAAAAGATTTTATCTCAAAAATATTAGAGATAAAATGATAGTCAAGTCAACGTCAGAACATTTGGATGTATTTGCTTCAGTAAATTGAAAAAAAAATTAGAATTTTTTATCCATATGATAAAAATACAGGGTGAGTCAGTTTTTTGTAGTAGGATTTTAACAGTCGATAGAGAATCATTTTTCAATAAGAAAAGTTCCTATAAACGTAGGTCTTAGAACGCTTCGTTTGTGAGATATAGGGTGTTGAAAACAAACTTTTTTTAAGAATTTTTCTTAATATCTCTAAAAGATCAGCATATATTGAACTGAAATTTGGTATTAATAACACATTAGTTATGGTGAATAAAACAAAGATATCTGTTATCCATTTCACACACCAGTGACGTGCCTGAGGTGGGTTACTGCCCCCTTTAAAAAAACAATTCGTACACCCGTGGATTTTTCTGGAAAATAACATCATTTTTAAATTTTTTAATCAATTCTGAACAAAACAGCTCTTTAAATTTTTTATAAAATTAACGGTTTTTGGTTAAATTCATTTGGCATGAAACTGTTCCAACGATATTGGTAATACATTTGTAATAAGAAAAATATGATGTACCCCTGAAAATCAACATTTGTTTTTTCCTGCCAAATTTCAGTTTAATATCTGTTGGTCTTTTAGAGATAATTCTTAAAAATGTTTGTTTTCTACACCTATATCTCACAAACGAAGCGTTTTAAGATCTATGTTTATAGGAACTTTTCTTATTAAAAATGATTCTCTATCAACTGTTATTATTCATTCAATCGTTTCAATCATATTTTTCTTATTGATTCACAAAATAAATGTATTAGGTACCGATATGGTTTCATGCCAAATGAATTTAACCAAAAACCGTTAATTTTATAAAAAATTGAGAGATCTATTTTGTTCAGAATTGATTAAAAAATTTAAAAATTATGTTATTTTCCAGAAAAATTCACGGGCGTACGAATTATTTTTTTAAAGGGGGCAATTACCCACCTCACTGGTGGGTGAAATGGATTACAGATATCTTTATTTTATTCACCATAACTAATGTGTAATTAATACCAAATTTCAGTTCAATATATGTTGGTCTTTTTGAGATATTAAGAAAAATTCTTAAAAAAAGTTTGTTTTCAACACCCTATATCTCACAAACGAAGCGTTCTAAGACCTACGTTTATAGGAACTTTTCTTATTAAAAAATGAATCTCTATCAACTGTTAAAATCCTACCACAAAAAACTGACTCACCCTGTATAAAGTAAATAGGATAGGTATAAAAAAGATACAGGTACGTATTATATCAATTACTATGAGGAATAAATATTTTGTACTCAAAAGTACAAATACATTAAATTAAATTTGTAGGTAGGTATAGTAGGTAGATACCACAGAAATAGATGGATGCAGGTATTTAAACAGATGATATGTAGATGTAGAATTTTTGAAATATTGTGATTGAGGATCTCATTCCTATGACACACAAAGTAGTTTAGGCATGATTTTGGTATAACTGTTCAAAATGGTGTGCAGTAAAGTACATAATATTTCATATTACATTTCACCAAAAATATCAAAAATTACAAGATTCTGTTTTTATTTTTGCAATTTTGAGATGCGACTTCTAAATTTAGACATTTTTTATACATGTACATACCTATTTTGGAAATAAATTCCATTCATTGTAACCTCACAATTTATAATTCGTCATTTTAAGTGAACACTGAATTTTTTTTAAGATATCTACCCCCTCGTCCTTATACCTATATAAAATTCATTTCATTCCAAATACTTTTTTATGTCAGAAATAAGGTAAGAAGAGACTACTTGGGATACTACAAAAAAAATATAATAAAGTGCCTGGATTAAATATTTTTTAATTGTTGTGTACCTATTAAGTGAACTATTAATTAAAAATAAAGTAAATTTACACAGGTAATTCCCTTTAAATGTAATTAAGGCCGACAGTAAAGTTGCACTAATGTCTCCCTGCCATAAAGATGACAAAAGGTCAAAATACTATGAAAAGGAACCCACGGAGGCCCCAGGTACACTATTCGAACCGGCCGCCAGTAAGACAGCTGCATACTTCTCCCGGGAGCTCCAACCAAAGGGGGCCACGCGCAAGTCTAGCAGAGACGCCCTTCGTTTGGTCTCAGTTCGAGTCAACACCGAGGCGGTGCCCCACATATTTACAATATCATATAGTGCCGTTGCCAAGCGGATATTTAGAAAAAAAACTAAATACACTACTGCTAGACACCTTTCGAAGTTTTGACCCGTTGATGGATGCAAAATGAACGTGAATCCGGCGGAAACCTGGCGAAGTTATGCAACTATTTGCAGACTGTGCTTGCAGAAAGATGGGTTCATGTTGGGCATATTCAATCACATCCAAGGCAAAGATAAGAGTATTTACAAGAAAATTATCGATTGCACTGCACTACAGGTAAGCTATCTATTGACATTTTCGATGTGGCAAATTTGACGTAACTTGCAGAAAATTCTGCATTCACGTTTTGCATTTACAGTATCAAAATTAGATTAATTTATCATCGTAAAAATAACCACTCAATGCAAAATCCACGCTCAAAATACCGAAAAATAACAAAACTTCAATTAAATCGCGAAATTTCCTGTTTTATCGATAGTCGATGTTTTGCGGTAAAATTAAAAGTCATACAGTATTGCCAGTTGCTGCATCGATATTTTCAATAAATTTTCTTGTTTTAAGTATTACATCATTTTTATTCATCTGAAGAAAAACATTGTAAACTTTCTTGTATACAATTGATGACATGTTTTTATTTTGTAAATATAAGAAAATAATACTTAGAGTTGAAGTATGAAAACATTTGGCAACAGCACCTTAGTTACGGATTTGCTCAATAGGTTCTGGCGCAGAAAATAACTGGAATCTGGCGCAATATTCAAAAAATGTACATTCAAAATTATTTTGAAAACATTAAATTTTCTTAAATAATTAGTTAAATTTAAATGTCACAGCATGGCCATACATGCATCTTTATTATAAATGTATTACTTAATAAATAATAAACTGTATTGTAATAATTTTATAATTTTTTTCCGTAGATATCACATGGAGATGGTTTGCCCAACGTGATATGCCATCGTTGCTTGTTTAAAATCGAGTTTTGTTTGGAATTTAGGCAATTGTGTTTTATGTCCGACGCCACTCTTCGGCAAATCAATGGAGTTATTAATAAGGAAAATGGATCTGAACCAAGCAACACCTCACATTTGCCGTTATATGAACAACTAGCAAATGGTAATTAATTAAATATTCTTATATATATTAACAACATTCTGTACCTTTGATACATTATTTGATTCACAAAAATATTAACGGTTCTTTAAATTATTATAAATTCACTTTATTTTCTTAATGTGTTTAGTAAAGCTAGATATTTTCAGGTAATGACGAAGACGTTGTGATGGTAGTGGACCCATCAGCCTACGATTACGAGTCAGATTATGAAAGTGACAAAGAGATACAAAGTGATAATGAAAATGGAGAGACTAATGACATAGAACACGAAGGTAGAGGAGTTTCTATGTGTAAATTCTGTGATCACGCATTCACCGATAGCACAGAATGCTTAAACCATGAAATAAATACACACAACAGTGAAACTCCTTATAGTTGTGGCACTTGTTACATGAGCTTTGCAGATCGACTGCTGTTTTCAGCTCACTTGAAAAGTGTCCACAAAAATGACAAACCCTACAACTGCCCCCAATGTGATAGAACGTTTGCTAGAAGGTCGGACCTAAGAAAGCATACAATTGTTCATACTGGAGTCAAACCGTATACCTGTAATATCTGCTACAAGTCGTTCTCTCGAAATACGAATTTATCCAAGCACATGAGAATACATTCAGGAACAAAGCCTTTCGTTTGCCCGAAATGTCCCAAAACGTTCACCTCTAAAGGTGATCTTACCAGGCATGCCATTATACATTCCGGACAGAAACCGTTTAGCTGCAATTACTGTCATTTAAGTTTTGGTAGAAGGGATAAACTTTTAAGGCACGAAAAGAGGCATTTCCCACAAGAGAACGCTGAAGATAAGTCGCAAGAGCTGCAAATGATGAGGGAGAACCTCTCGATTTACTCGACCCAAAACAATGAACACAATGATGAAGAGAAACAAGAAGGATCAGAAAACATGGTTATTACTCTGGACCCATTCAATCACAACAATTTTAGTACCGGGGCCACCCCGCAGAGGGAAAACAACTCTGAAACGGAACATCAAAATAATGAGAACGAAACAGTACTCTCCGACCACATAAAACTGGAAGACTTAGATGCGGACCCTAAACTATATCAACAAGTACCTGAACACATTACCGGCGAGAGCTTCAGAGGTGACTTACAAGAGTCAGTACCCACCGCAGAGCTCAAACCTTACAAATGCCCACAGTGCCCCAAACGATTTTCCAAAATTGAAAATTTACACGTTCACGAAAATAACCATTCGGGCATTCGACCATTCAGTTGTCACATCTGTAACAAAACTTTCATAAGGAAGAGGGAATTAGACAGGCACATAGCCACCCATTCCGGTATGAAACCGTTCAAGTGTCCTCGGTGTAATAAGGGATTCGGAAGGAAAGACAAACTCATCCGACACATGCGAATACACGACTTAAATAAAAACTTCAACTGCACCCTGTGCGGGTCAACATTCAATCGAAGAGACAGTCTGCAGCAGCATATGAAGACACATGCAGCCCACGCGGTTAAGGAGGAAGAAGTCGAGAATAATTCTTTTACGTAGTACCGACATAAGTTATTTTGTTAGATTTTTACTTTTCCGTTTACTATAAACCTGTGTGATGCCTTATGTAAATAAACACACTATCATGATAATGTAGATTGTACAGATATTTTTTCTTTTCATTTTTGCGAATTTGTCACAGTACATACATTTGAAACTAATGCTATATTTAAAAAGTACAGAGAAATTCCAAATTTGAAAAGTTGTACAAATATATTTTAAAACGATGCAATTAAAAAGAATATCTGTAGCACTTTAAATTCAAATAAATATTTTTGCATATTGCTTTATCGTTCTTTTCCACCTTAGTACAAAAATTAAAAATAATTCATGTGATCTAAAGAAGCAGCACATGAAATTATAAAAAATATAAAACAAATACATATTAATCAATCTAAAGGCAATAATTAAGAGCCAAATTGTATATAAGAATCATATTTCAGCTGCAGAAACTGCAACCATATGCTTGTTTATGTTGTTATGGTGTTTTGAGTAGTCTAAAGGAGTCGACCTCAAATTCCTAAAATTATTACTATTAACAACCAAACCACGAGCAGTTGTGCTTTTAGAATTTTTCTTTACGTGTATAACATCATTTACATTACATTCTTCTGTACTTCTTTATTTAGAAAAAATAGCAAAGACCAAATGAAAGCCTTGATATCAGGCTAGTACAGGGTGATTCACTATATTTTTTCCCCCCTTTTAATTTTTTGTTTTAAAAGTTATCAAAAAATGTGAAATACAAAAGTTGTACAATTTTTTTATGAATTTTTCCAAAATGATAATAGAAAAACAAATGAAGTCCAAATAAAATGGCCGCAGATATTAACTTTGTTAATTTAAATGGAACACCCTGTATATTTTTGCATATTTAAATAATAATACAAACTGTCAAACCATAACAATGTTGTTCATAACATTACCTGACACTGCCACGGCCTACCATATACATTGTCCATGAGTAAATAGGCCTCTCACGGTCTAAGTAAGGAGATTTAGTTAAAATACCTATTCGTATTTTAAACTATATCAATGTCAGATATGTCAAAATATATTACAACTAAATCTAAATCCTTACATGTCTTATTTTCTTAATAAAAAACGTTCTTTTCGTTTTTTATTATTATCTCACTTATTGTTAGAGATGGACCCAACAAACCCTATATGACTATGCTCGACAGGGAACGTTCTCTCCAAATATGTAAAAATATACAGGGTATTCCATTTAAATTAACAAAGTAAACATCCGCGGCCATTTTGTTTGGACTTCATTTGTTTTTCAACTATCATTTTCGAAAATTTCATAAAAAATCGTGCAACTTTTGTATTTCACTTTTATAACTCTTAAAACAGAAAACTTAATGGGGGGGGGGGTCAAAATATAGTGAATCCACGCTGTACATAAAAAACAATTAAATGTTGCATTGCTGAAATATAGGTAAACCAAACTTTTTTCTTTAAATAAAATACCGTTATATTTGACGACTTTTTTAAATCCTCCGTTTTTTATAGTTACAACAATCAACACAAATCGTATATTTGCTTTGACAGTATGCACACTATTTTGGTTTATTTACTGATCCTCCACAATAGGCAAAAAGATTGCCATGGAACTATTGCTTGTCTATGCTCTTCCTCTGTTAAATTTACTGAAGATATTTGACTGTTTTGTTTTTGACAAAAGCCAATGCTCCATGACTCCACCTCATTGATGGTATTAATATGTGATATGCAGGTATTGTCATAAGAAAAAAACGAATAATTTCAAAAAACGTCAAATATACAGGGTATTTCATTAAAATAAACACAACTTTGGTTTATACCCCAAAAATTCAATTTTTTTATGTATGTACTTTGATATCATCACAACACAAAGCATACCTACTGCAATCAATAAAGAAATTAACAAATAAAATCAGTGCTGCTGTGGAGAGTATTCTTTGTTTACCCTTTTTGTTAAAAAGTTCTGGTTTCTGGACAACATTTTTGTGTAAATTACGTAGTGAAAAATATATAATTAGTGAATTCATGTATTGAAAAAATGCCTCTGCACCTTTTATGTCAAAATCTTTAATTGTATGTTAAAGTTACCTGAATTATCTTTTATAGGTTTCTGAAAATTGAATAATTTACCTGTTGGAAGTAAACCTTTTATTATTATTATATATATTTTTTAAATTACCTTGAACAAATGTGCATTATACCTAATCCAATTTACTAAATAATACCTGAAGAAAAAAACGTAGGTAATTTATCAATGCTTATTCCTTTTTTGAATTGTCATAATACCTAAGCACTGACTATTGAAGTAGTTTTTTTTCTTCTGAATGTAATTTTATGCAATATGTTAATAATTAGAATATTAATTGTTTACTATTTTTATATAAAACGTAAGTATTGCAAAGGCAACTTTCAATTTTTCCACCTATGCGTAGGTGTAAACTGTGCTGCATAAAAATACGCGTTTCTTAAATAAAATATCCCAAAAATACTTCGAAAGCATGTAAACTCAACATCAATTGATCTTTTATGCTACACTTCAAAGGTATCAATTACCCAGTAAATGAATTTTATTATACTCTAACAAAACCCTGGAAAATTAAGTGCGTCAGAACAAAAACTAAAAAATTTAACAGTCCCTAATTTTTTCATTAGAATTCCAGAGTTTGTTTTTCTGAATATATTAATACCCCAATGATAATAATAATAAATTTATTTTTCTATAGACAGAGGGAACTTATTCATATCTTCAGTTAAAATTATATCTTTCTAAAATCGAGATCCCCACTTTATTCATAAAAAAAAATCAAGGAAAAAATAAAAATCGACTCAAAACTCAACTTATTCGTTATATATATATTTATATCACATTTAATATTTCTGGAGTTTGTTACACATTATACGTACTTATTATATAAACCCTGATTGTCAAATATTAGATGCTAAATGGCCCAAGGAATTTTTCATAACGATACAATATTAAAATTCAAAAAGAAGCTAAATTGAGATTTAAAATAACTTATTTTAAAGTCGTAAATTTTAAATAATTTATTAACTTCATTAAGGAATATGTATTAGGAAATACATATTTATTTTGATACTCGGTTAGAAGGAATGTCTTTTGTAATACCTACTTCAGATATCAAAAATATATATAATATTTAAGTAAGCTAGTATGTAATTTAATTGTAAATAACAATATAACCTGGATGGCGTATGTAAGGGGGTTTATGTAATAGTATATTCCTAGTAATAACACTCATCCTAATGTCAACATTATTGTTCAAGTCAATATCATTAATAGTCCCCTGCGAGTTGTAGAACATAAGTGATTCTAATACAATATACAGTGTGGAACAGCCAAATAGAATAAATTCAGTATCTCAATTATTATTGAATGAATTAAATTCTGAAATGACATCTTGCAACGTAAAAATTTCATCCTCAAATTTTACCCTTTTTGGGTTGGCGTTTGCAACCCTTAATTTTTTAAAGGGGAGTTGGGGGCATTTTGCTTATTCCAAAACCCCTTCCTTGTTTACCGAAGTAGTTAAATGATTGTAATTATTCAAAGTATCGTGTATTTTCATTGTTCTCTAATTACCTTTGACTCAGATGAACACGTAAAAAACAGATAATAGAAATAAATCTTTTTTTCCCATATTTTATTAAGGAGGGCGTTTGTATGCGCAATTTTTTGTCCAGCATTTTAGAAAATTTAAGTAAGTTAGAAACAAATATCTCTTCACTCTACCAATTATATGAGGAAAAATAAATCATATTTTTACCTCGTATATGTTTATCTTACGTCACCCGAATTTTGCGCGCTTGAAGAATATGTAGAAAATCGTGTATGGTACTACCAACATAATCACACTCTGCGGAATAATTTTAGGAAATTAACACAATTATTCAGCATATTTACAAATTTGCTGAACAGAAAACGGGAAAGGTACATTTTCTGATGTTTACATATTCTCCGTGATCTTTCAATGTGAAAAATTAAAGTCTAGCGTTAGGCTAGATGTATCTACTTGTTTTATCATTATCTCAATACAGTGTGATTTAGAACTTATCCAAAAAATTTTGAATGTATAGCGGACTCTTACAAAAATTAAAAAAGGCAATTCGAAAATGATTTAAAAATACACTTCTACACGACACTGGAAACTGGACCACTGTAAAACCTGACCTTACGCGAGGCAGGTATGCAGTCAGCGACCGACACGGCGACAAAGTTTAATTAATAAAATAATTTGAAATACCCGATGTTGCAACTGTTCAAAATTTTGTCCACCGAAGTGAAAACACATTTGGGCCATCTTACCCAGTTTCCACGACACAAACTATGTAATACAAATGTTGTCTTGCTTCACCATAACACAAATGCTTCACCATAACAAAAATGTTATCTTGCTTCACCATAAATTAAAACAATATCTATCAACTCCGTGTTACTATACACGTAATTTTTGACACTTGAAAAACTAATGTAAACACTATCGCAAAAATGTTAATACTAAAATCGGATTTCAGTATTCGAAATCGTCTGGGGCCACGTGGAGAGGGAGCGCATTGCGCACACCGCACAACGCGAAAGACGACTACAGTAGCCCAGCGATGTAAGGGTTGAAAATACATACAAAATACAATAATTTTTTCTTGGAAACTATAAGGATTTTACAAAAATTTTTGTAAAATTTATCTATTCATATCAATATCTATATCTATACACATAATATGAATAGTTTTTTTTTAACAAACCAATATTTTATCCTTACTAAATTTGGCTTTAAAAAACATAAGTATTTTAATATTAGATTTCTGATATAGAAGAACTTTGTTTAACTCCATTTGATCAAATTTTTAAAAGAAAATGTTTTGAATTTGTTAATATTGCTTTACAGATTAAAACTAAAATGATATAAAGATTAAGAAACTAATATTTAACATTAGTTTTAAACCGTAAATTTTTAAGCTGATGATGATGCTGATGGCCGCCTTTTATCTCGCCTTTTGTCTTTTCAGAACGTCTCGAAAAAAATCAAAATTTATGGTTGGAAACAATTTATATTTCAACTGAATTTCTACTGCTGTTTCTGTGATATGCATACAGTTTAAGTTAATGAATGACTGCATACCTGTTAAAATTCGCTATGGTGACGTAAGTAATGCAAAGGAATTCCATTGTCGCTTTGTTAAGATTGTTAAGAGTAATTTGCCATATATTGTTAACATCAATAGCGTTTTATATACAT